TCTTCAGTGACTCGTCAGCTGTAGCCATCCAAAACAAAGACAGAGCTCAGAGAGTCGTTACTCCACTGTAGATCCACTTCGGTCACAGACCACCAGGCTCTGTCCCTGAGGACAGACTGAATCACTGTGTCCAGGAACTCAGAGTCTCTGAGACGAAGCAGAGTGAGCTGCCTGTTCTCAGAGCTCGGCTGAAAATAGAAAGAGTCTGAGCTTACACTGTCGTTAACCCTGAACTGGATCATTTACCTGTTAGATACTCTGACATCATCTCACTAGACTTTAATGAACATTCTTCTTTTTTTTATTATTTCTGTTCGACTATTTCTACTATTTGTTGCTTGTTTTAATATTTAATGCTTTTATTGTGAAGTACTCTAACTTTTGTTTTGAGAGGTACCGCAGAAACAAACTTTTTTGTGTGTTTTACTTATGTTCTATTGATGAAGTAAATTAGAGTCTGATGGAGCAGAGTGAGACCTCCTGTCTGTACTAACCTGATCTCTGAGGGTGGAGCTGCTGTGTGCAGATGTTGACAGATATGTGTGTTTTTAACCACGCACATCTCTCAGCGCTTGGCCTTCTCTGCATAGATCCCTGCTTATTTCTTCCTCTGTGGGGCCCCTCGGAGCCTCGGAGCTTTGGCCCCGTTTCGTAGCGCCGTTCCGCCTCCTGCAGCGAGAACGGCCCACATGTTCAGACTCTAGTCTGCACCTTTAATCATCCACCATCACTGTGGACCGTCCTCTCAGCTGCTGTTTCAGAGAGGCCCTGGCCGTCCTCCAGGGGCCTGACAACTGTGGACAGTCAGGTGGGGTCAGCATTCATCAGTCAGAATTAGCTGGACCGACTCTATGTCTGTCAGTCTCTCCACCTCCTGTGAGGGGTCAGGGTGGAGCAGGTGAGGAATGTGGGACAGTGTGTGGTCTGTAGGCTCCGCCCCCTAAGGACCTGAAGACACAGAGACAGAAACATCACTGGTGTCTCAGACGAGGACGTTTCTGTGTGGTCAGACATGTGGAGACTCTGAAACTGGTTCACAGGGTCTGAAGGATCAAACACAAAACCAGCTTCTGGTTCGATCCAGGAAGTGATGAGGAGTGAGGTCATTGAGATGTGGCTCATTTAAAGAGAAAATCTTCAAACAGCACTGAGTCTGCAAGGCCTCATTATGGACCCCAACCGCCCCAGAAACCAGACACCTCTCTCCTCTCTGAAACCTTTCACACACTGAACCTCATTCACTCTCCTGCTCCTGTAAACGATTCGTGTGCCTGGAGGAGCACGATTCATCTTCTGACTGTAAACAAGTGAGTCTTGAAACTTGAATCTTGAATCTTGAATCATGAATCTTGAACCTTGAATCTTGAACCTTGAACCTTGAACCTTGAATCTTGAATCATAAATCTTGGACCTTGAACCTTGAATCATGAATCTTGAACCTTGAATCTTGAACCTTGAATCTTGAACCTTGGATCATGAATCTTGTACCTTTAAATTTGAACCTTGAATCTTGAATCATGAATCTTGAACCTTGAATTATGAATCATGAATCTTGAAACTTGAACCTTGAATCTTGAATCATAAATCTTGGACCTTGAATCTAGAATCATGAATCTTGAACCTTGAAACTTGAACCTTGAATCATGAATCTTGAACCTTGAAACTTGAATCTTGAACCTTGGATCATGAATCTTGTACCTTGAAATTTGAACCTTGAATCATGAATCTTGAAACTTGAACCTTGAATCATGAATCATGAATCTTGAATCTTGAACATTGAAACTTGAACCTTGAATCATGAATCTTGAACCTTGAATCTTGAATCATGAACCTTGAACCTTGAATCTTGAACCTGGAATCATGAATCTTGAACCTTGAACCTGGAATCATGAATCTTGAACCTTGAACCTTCAATCTTGAATCTTGAACCTTGAACATTGAATCTTGGTGGCTGAAGAGATGGACGTGCACTGTTAAATGTTCTGCCGTTAAAAAACAGTAAACAACTTGAAGCAGGGTTGTCATTATTTTACTGTAAAATTAACGGTACCATGCTGTTGCTGGTATTTACAGTTTGGAAATAGGAACTTTCATGGTGCAGATTAGGTAATAGTTTGTTTCACCTTGATGAGTCTCAGAAACGCTTCCTTCACCTCCAGTAATCAGCTGTTTTAGGCAGCTCATATGTAACATGTGAGACGAAACTCAACAAACACAAGGTCAACATGATCAAAGCTGCTGTGAGCTCACAGTATCAGCTGAAGGATGTGAGCATCTCACCTTTGAATTATTCCAGTGTGCATGCAGCGTCATCTTGGGACTGAAGATTGAAGTTGTAGTGGGTAGAAAAGACTGCAGGGAGCGTGGTCAGCTGGCTGGGTGACCTCACAAAGGTCATGTCCCTCAGTGCTGATCATGAAGTGGTGAATACAGCTTCCTGGTGTTTCACCTGAAATTTGACAAAGAAAAAACCTCATTGACACTGTCACACTGCAAATGATACGTGACACGGAAACTGAAATCCTTCTACCCATTCACAGATGAGTCCTGTTCTTTTTCCCACATACATTATAAGGTGGTCTGATATAGAACTGAACCGTGTTGAACAGCCACATGATGTTTGCTCTGTTCATAGTAATAATTAGCAAACAAGGTCCTGGTCAATTCAGTCCCGACAGTAAAGTAACGTTATCTAAATAAAATCAGCAGCGTCCTTTGGAGACGAGCGCTTAGCAGATGCTAACACAAAGTAAAGTTAAGATGAAACTCATCCTGTAGTTTGAAGGATCAGGATCAGAGTCCAGCTCCTCTCTCTGGCACATGGTGAAACCGCCAGTGAAATGGCAGAATGAAAGTCACCACTCCAGTGTTACAAATGTTTTCAGATCACAACAGAAGGATGTTTTACCACTTAGCAACTGTACAGCTGTACATCGAAGTAGCTAACGTTAGCTGACTCACTCAAGTACTCACTGTTTGCTTGTGTGTTTGTCAGCTCAGACTCTGATCTCAAATGACTTAAACTTAATTCAAGTCCAATGCTCTTTACATTCACTCTGAATACAGTTCATTTTAGCGAAATAACCCCTAAACATAAAGATAAGTCCAGAGGAGATCTCTGGCTTAAAGACTAACATTACAGGTAAGATAACTTGTTTTGTTTGATGGCATTCTACTAGATAATCAATACAACTTGATTGTGATGTAGTTTGCCTATGCTAACAAACAGTGCAAGAAGGGCGGAAAAAATCAAACTGCATTGTCCAGTCAAACATGTCTCACTCTCTGTTTTCCCAAAATGCATTGCAAAAGATATTGTAAATTACAGTTTTCTTTCCTCCAAGCAGTAATACTGTAAAATAGCATTGTAAACAATTTCACCAAGAAAAATTTGCAGTAATATACTGTTTTTAAAGATAACAGGATTATACTGTTGACATTTTCCCGTAAATTTACAGCAATTTGTTACAGTGTGGATGGTGTGCAGTTCAGGTGCAGGACAAAAACAGTAAACAAAGGGAAGGAGAGAATCTCATGTGACATTTACAACTTCCCAACCTAATAACAAGACTGTAGTAATAACAGTAATAACAAGTAATAACATAGTAATAACAAGTAATAACAAGTAATAACACCGTAACCAACCTGATTTCAAAAAGAATTTTTGAAAATAATTTTTTTAAATTTTGTTCAGGGATACAACTGGAGGATCATAATGTGACAGTGACACTCGTTGTTATCACACTCATCTTCATCACACTCTTCCTCACCTGTCTAAGGTTTGAAGGAGTTCAACACAAATCAAGGTTCTGCTCTTTTATAAGTGTAGTTTGAGTGTGAGAGCAAGGAAACCTGAGAACACACACACACACACACATACACACACACACACTCACACACAGTTGTCACACCGCTCACAACACTGAAACACTGAGAGGCTGGCATGTGAAATCACAGTGTAATTCTGTGTGTGTGTGTGTGTGTGTGTATGTGTGTGTGTGTGTGTGTGTGTGTGTGTGTGTGTGTGTGTGTGGTTGTGGTATTTATTTCTGGAGCCAGCGTTCACTCTATCTTTCTTCTCTGGAAACCCTCCAAGGACACGGCGTGCGGCGGCGAGCCAACGCCTCCACGCTCCCGCCAGCAGCTCTTTCAGACACCCGCCGCACAAAAGAACAAACGGAACAGCGAGTACTGCAGAGGATCAGGTTGTAGGTGCCGGGACTTCTGGGAAGCCGGGGAGCCGCGGGGTACGTGACAGATCCCAGCGGGGGCTGTTTCTGAGGGACTCTGCGTCCTGGGAAAACATATGTGGACACGAACGTCTGTGCTGTGTGCAGAGAGTCAGAGGACAGGTCTGAAGACACATCCTCTGAGAACAGACAGACTCAGTTCACTCAGAGACTGACAGAGACATGTGTCTGAGAGGACATGAAGAAGAGCTCCACTGTAGAAACAGTCTGTAACCTGCTGGAGTTACACTGTCAATGTGTGGCTGTATCATGTGGTTGTACTTTAGTGAGTGGAGCCACATCCATTAACTATAGCAGCATCTTGGGGGGGGGGGGTCTGTGAGCATGTCAGCGATGCGTTCAGCGTCAACATGTGAACGACATTTCCTCATTATGTTAATAGGAAACATGATGTGTTTCAGATACAGATACAGAAGTGTGAGGGCTGCTGAACACTGGGTTTCATGTGAGTAGTCAAACATCTGCAATCAAACATCAAAACAGTCTCAACTGTTACCCCCCTTCCAAAAATCCCCTGATTTCTTCCCGTAACGCAAAGTTCACACACAGACACACACACACACACACACACACACACACACACACACACACACACACAGAGTGTATTGGAGCACCTGACTGCAGCCTCACAGGCAGGAGCTGAGGACATGGAGGGATCAGACATCAGAGAACTGTCTTCTGTGTGTGATGATTGTAGTGATGGAGCATCACCTGTACAGACAGGTAATACGTCTGTCTGTGTCTCTGCAGGCTGTGACTCTGGTTTCGGGAAAGCGGCAGCAAAGCGTCTGGACGCTCTGGGTTTGGAGGTGTTCGCCACAGTGTTGGACCTGTCAGGAGACGGAGCCAAAGAGCTGCAGAGGACCTGCTCCCCCCGCCTCACCCTCCTCCAAGTGGACATCACCCAGCCACAGCAAGTCCAACAGGCGCTGCTGGACACCAAGGCCAAGTTGGGCCTCAGAGGTGAAGACAGACCCCCATGTTCTAAATCAGATGGCTGTGAGCTAAGCTAAGCTAACAGTTTCCCTCTGCTTCCTGTCTATTTGCTAAGATAGGCTAACAGTTTCCCTCTGCTTCCTGTCTTTTTGCTAAGATAGGCTAACAGTTTCCCTCTGCTTCCTGTCTTTTTGCTAAGATAGGCTAACAGTTTCCCTCTGCTTCCTGTCTTTTTGCTAAGATAGGCTAACAGTTTCCCTCTGCTTCCTGTCTTTTTGCTAAGATAGGCTAACAGTTTCCCCATGCTCTCAGTCTAGAGTTTTCAGTCGGCCTCATGGTCATCCTTCTGGAGAACAGCGTGATGTCTCCATGGAGTTTTTGTTGCAGATATAAAACATAAAGTGAAGCTCTGCGTTGTGACATCACAGTGTGACAACAGAGACAACAGAGGTCAGAGATGGTGTTGTTGTTGTTGTTGTTGTTGTTGTGTGTTTTCTCAACAACAGCTCATGTAGCAGCTGCACAGACTGAACTCAGGTGTGTCCAGGTGAGCTCTGAGCCTCAGGAAGTGTTGGACTGCTCCTTTAACCTCTCTGTGTTTCTACTGGAGCTGCAGAGGAATGTGAGGAGGAGTCTGTCCAACAGACTTCTAGGAAATCAGAGAGGGAGGGGGAGGGGTCTCATGTTTCACTCTCTCTGATTGGCTCAGAGCTGCAGCTTTGTAATTAGACAGTTCACTGCTGGAGTCATGTAAGGATACACAGTGTGTGTGTGTGTGGGGGTGGGGGGGCGTTGTGGGGTGGATGTAATAAAAGAACCACAAGGAAAGGTCACTAACACACACTCCCATGTTGTCTCTGTGGGACAGTGTGTGTGGTGGTTTTATGTACTTTCTTGTGTGTGTGTGTGTGTGTGTGTGTGTGTGTGTATGTGTGTGTGTGTGTGTGTGTGTGTGTGTGTGTGTGTGTGTATGTGTGTGACCCAGACTGTGATAACAATTATAATGTTTTACAGTTTAATTAGAATCTAATGAACATAGATCCTCTTCCTCTTCCTCTCCTGTAGAAACCAGACAGGATGTTACCTGGGCGGGGCCTCAGGTGTTTGGCAGTCTGCCCGCCTGCTGTTCTGGTCCTGGTCTTTCATCAGCACAGACTCAAACAAAGACTTGTTAAACAAACAGAGGGATTCTGGGTCAGTGCTTCAGGGAAGGGCGAGCGAGGCTTGTTTACACCAGCAGAGAGAGAGAGGCTGAGCTCTGAGTGTTGACAGTGTGTGGAGGAGGGGCTGTTAAACCAGTAACAGACCCCTCAGACCATCACAGACCATCACAGACCATCACAGACCCCTCAGACCATCACAGACCCCTCAGACCATCACAGACCATCACAGACCATCACAGACCATCACAGACCCCTCAGACCATCACAGACCATCACAGACCCCTCAGACCATCACAGACCCCTCAGACCATCACAGACCATCACAGACCCCTCAGACCATCTCAGACCATCACAGACCATTACAGACCATCACAGACCCCTCAGACCATCACAGACCATCACAGACCATCACAGACCCCTCAGACCATCACAGACCATCACAGACCACTCAGACCATCACAGACCATCACAGACCATCACAGACC